TGCGCCCATGGAATCGATTCAAGGCCATTTTTTATATCTTAAAATTTTTCCTTTTTTTCAGCTAAATGATGTTGTTGAAACATGAATGGAAATCAAAGAGGGCAAGATTTGGACTGTAAGGTGAACAATGCAGAATTTCGTAGCCAAGCTCTAATTTTTGAACATAAGGCCATATTTATATTTTTTTTTCAACTATTATAAGGAATTTCGATGATGTTCTTGAAGACAATTCGTAGTGGATACCATAGGTGAGACAGCTTGTATTATTTTTTACACATATAGTAGAACCTTTCTGTCATGAATGTTGGGTGTTCTGATATTTCTTCTGATAGCCACTGGCATTTAAGACTAGAATAACAGTAGAGTACCTATCACCAGTAATAATTACACCTAAAAAAAGTGGTTCATTTCTAGTTTAGAAATGACTGAATCACATATTAACGATCTTTGAAGAGAAGCCTGTACTCTTCGCTAAATTGATGTCATTCATTCATAATAACCTTATTTAACTTTCTCGTGGCTTGAAGCTGATGGGAACTATTCGCCTCCCCGCCTGTCATAACCTGTTTTCTTAGCGATTTTACTCAGTGTATGTTTCAGCTCCGATTGAGAAGCGCAGAAAAGTTTCAACTTTTGAAGGTCAACTAGATCTTCGAGCGTCGTGCAAATTGAAAATACCACTTCCAAATTTCGAAATCATCTTTGACGCTTCCTCATATCCACTACCTTCATATATTTCACTTATATTACTCGTTGCTATCACTGTATTAAACGATAAAATTTGAAGAACATTCACATTCCATTGCTGAACTAATCGACAATACATCATATAAACATTTGAAATGAATGACTTGTTTTTATAGAAAACCATTCTATTGAAAATTCGCCACAGAAAAGCGAAAAGCTAATATAAAAAGTCATGGATAACTGAAGAATATGTGGTGAAGTGGAAATTCGAAATTTAAAAAAACGAAAATGAGACACATCCCAGACGCTTCATAATACTATCTTTTTTTTGTATTGATAAAATGCAATATTTTTTGGTAAATTTTTCCTCCAACTCAATCCTATTTATTGCCTTCTCTCGCCATTATCAATTATCATATAGAGCACTTTACATTAATGAAAACGAAAGTGTAAATATTACATCTCACCACTCACAATTTGAAAAGCTAATTTGCAAACACTTACGAAGCAAATCCGCTTATAGCTTCAAAAAATGATGAATAGACATCATGCATTATGGCATCTATCATGAAATTAGTCAACTTAGATATATCTGGGAAGACTTTCAACTTCTGCTGAACAGGTAGTACGAGACAAGAAGACTCATCCCAACCGAGCTTAGAAGAGTTTGGATGAGTGCGGATTTTCTGCCAAATGTTCACGCCAAGAAGGATACTAGCGCATTCAAACCACAGTCATTTGTTTTATTGATTTTGCCGCTGTATTCGATTCAATTGATACAGTGGCGCTTTGGAGAATGATGGAATGCGACTCGCAGAAAGAAAATCATCCGACTCATAACGATCAGCGCAGGTCTACAAGAAATTGACATACTGAAATGTAAAGCCATTCCAGAGGTGTACAAGTCAATCAAGAGCACAGGAACGAGGGCTATAAGAGCTTTGATAACGTAATCCCTTTTGCTGAAAAACAATTTCAAAAGACGCTTGTTCGTCTATCGATAACAGCAGACAAATTTAGGCTACGCATTAATATAAGTCTGTTCATTTTACATATTAAAACCACACTAGCCATATTAAACCATCTAAAATCCACTATATTTACAAATAAACTCTGAAGTCTATGTGTTGCCCATAAATTCCTCTTTCCTCTTCCATCCCACACCTCCTTTCCTCGCCGATCAACTCTCCTCTCTCTTCATCAAATTCAGCAAACGATAAATCTAACACAACTGATTCATTTAATTAATCATCGTTCCGCATCATTTAATGGAAAAAAAGCGAAAGTAAAATGTTGCTTTTGATTGGTTTTTTTTCACCAAACTCTATAACGAACTTTCCTAAATAATTGAAAATAATCAAAAATACAAACTTATTGTCGCAAAACTCATCTCTTCTACCAGTTAAGTAGCATTTCAGTTGAATAAAATTCTTATTCATTTATAATAAAATAAAAATAGTGTTTTATTATGCTTGAGAATGTTGAATAATATAAGTAGGGAATGGAGCAAAATGAAGAATGAACAGTGGTTTTTTTCCTTTACTACAAAAGTTTTCAAAATTTTGTCAAGTGTATGAAAAATTGCCAAAATTAAATGAAACGTTAACAAACTGGACTAAGAAATCGTTTAAACGAGCATTATCACGATATCTTATCCTTCATTAATTGCTATAAAATTGTTGGACAACCTTGTTTGTTGCTATTACGCGTTATATAATTAAAAAACTATTCCAGCCGATATTATTTGCGAGATTCTCGTTAGCGATCTACAAATTACCAGAGTAAAAATACTCTTGAATCATAATTCACTAAAAAAAAGCCGGTAACACATAATTGCGAAGTTGCTTCTCGCAAAACTGCGACTTCTACGAAATCCTAATTAATCCCCGCAATTGCGAAGAAATGCTTTGGAAATTGGATGATCAATGGTTTGCAATGGTATGAAACTGAACTTAAAGAAATTTATTTCAGAGAAAAATAAGGAAGACAGACTTTTCTTCTTCTGATAGCTCGCACTATTTCCTGATTCTCGTTGTCTCCATTGGCCGACTACTCATTGGTTAATTCGTTATCCACAAAATATTTGAATTATACAAAAACAACAGAAATCACTGAAATATTTTTACAACACAAAAAAAGAAAGAATTTATCGATGAAACGATACATTGAAATTCTTGTTTAAACAATAGATATCTGTTGAAGAGAAATATGTATTTTGATAAAAATATTCGAGATTTTTCCAAAGAAGGAATAAACGAAGGAAGGAAGAGATAGATGAAGTAATTGCGAAAAGGAAAAAGAATAAAAGAAGTAATTAATCCATGAAGGAAGGAAATTTAATGAGAATGATAAAAAAGGTTTGAAGAAAATGCAGTGAATAATAATGAAAAAGCGAATTGAAAAATTTTTGAAAAAAATTTTTACTAATATTGTAAAGTTTAATGAGTAATAAATAGAAAAAACAAAATTTGAAAAAAAAAATGTACTATAAATTTGTAATAAGCGAAAAAATCTTTAGAAAAAACTATACTGTTATGATAAAAAATTCAAAGAACGCAGCTAAAATGACATAAATTAAAAGAAAATGGACTAAAATGGACCAAAAATCAGATAGGACAGTCGAATAGTACGTTGATACAAAGCTCAAGACTCGACTCTGACCTTTGTTGAATACAAATCTATTATGGAACTCTTATGGTACCACTGCCGCTGACTCATCCAACGAAGAAAAAGAAAAAGACATTGAGATATTAACAAATTTCTTTATTAAAAAAAGACGTCATTTTGTTTGTCGAAAAATTCACGTAAATTCTAAATTAAATTAACGAATTCGAAAGTTTTCATCATTCGAAAGGGTCAGAGGTCATATGAAAACTTAACTGACTGACAGATCCAATAATAAATCGCTTTTCAGTGTTTGTTTATTCGTTAAAAATTATTTACCCGTTCTTTGAAATTCATACGATCGGTCGTTTTAGCGGGGTTTTTTTTTTCTAAGAATACTTACCACTGCTGGTCAGAATCGCTCGGTTGGCTCGTCGGAAGACCGCGCCAGTGAGTCGCTTGGCGACATATAGGTGAGTGGCAAGCGACCGGATTTTTGGTATTTTCAGCATCGATGCTGCGAAATGGAAACAACGAATTATCATTCTATTTTCTGGTCCAAAAAGAAGTTAAAAAAATGCTTAATTTGATACAATTAATTAATTAATTCCATAAACATTTCATCCAAAAAAAAATGGTCAAAATGATAGAAGAAAATCCAACAGAATGCATAAATACAAAACAAGGAAATAACCTTACGGCTGCGACTGACTATTAGTATTCCTTTAAAATTCGGACTTATGGTAAATTTGTGGTATTTAGTTTTAGTAATTACAATTTTTCGGTTACTTTTTGGTGCAAAATTTCCAACAAATTTTATTCTCTACGAAAAGCTAAAATATAATTTTTTATTTATTTCAACCAATGAGAATTTCAGTGATTTTGCGAATTTCAAATTAATTTATTTCATTTTTATTTTCATTTTTGTTGAATTTTAAAATTTAAAAAAAAAATTGTTTATAAAGTAATTAAAATAAATAATTAAATTATTAAATAATAATTTAATTAAAATTATTGAAATTTTTCTTTCTCTATTTTCGCATTTCATTTGATATTTTCGAGACGATTTGCGATGATTTTAAAGAAATAATTTTTCTTTTCGTCTTTTGTCTCATTCGATTCGTTCGCATTTTATTTTTCTTAGCCTTCGAGCTAATGGAATATAATTAATCCGTGGTAAAGTATCGACGAATTGCGATGCGTCGGTGGCTTAGCGGCGAGATAATTGCCCATGGGGAATCGAGGCTCGGCTAGGAATCCACCGACGCACCACTCTTCTTCTGCGCGGTACTCTCACTCAACCGAGAAGAGTAAAAGAGCGCAGCATGCCTCAGCGGGTTATTGCTCAGTTCGGAGCTGGAATTCTCTCGCCAAGGAGCTCTCTGGAGCATGTTTGTTTAGTTCGACAAGCCAGCGGAGCGAGTCCAATCAGTAATGTGAGTGCTGTTGCAAAAAAAAAAAATTTTAACTTACACCATTATTAAGTGAAAATAATCCATATATAGCACCTTGTACACCAATTCGAAGGAGGATTTCTTTCTTTCTTTTTAGATATTGTCCTTACTTGATATTCAAAAAGTTATTCAAATTATAGTATTTCTTATCAATTCACCATTTTTTTTGCGCGATAATATCGAAACGTTCAACATATTTTTCGCTTCTTAATTAAATATAATTAATTGAAGGGTAATGTATATGCGGTACGAAGTATGGGTATCGCAAATAGTTCGTTTATAAAGGAAACGCGCACAAATTGTGATTTGGATTGGATTGCACCATCAACGTCCCGAAAAAATCTTACAAAACAGAGAAAGCCATTTTTTATTAATTCATTTGTCAGTAAATATCTTGGTAATAAGTTACAATCAAGGTTTCAGTCATTTGCAAAGGTTTGAACCGTTTTTTATTGTTGCTAGATTATTTTTCATTTTTTTTTTATTGCTTGAAACTAAAATTACACTTTTTATCAAAAATTAAAGGAATTTTGTAAAGAAGAAATGAAGATAACAATACTGAAGAAAAGAGAAAAAGACATTTATTGTTTGCATTATAATTATTTGAATGATAAGTTTTGATTTTTTTTATGTTTTATATCAATTTTTATCAAAATTGCAATTTTAGCATCGACCCTTATCTCGTGATAATCAGCATGCTTTTCGAGAACTTATAAAATCTTGGACATATTCGGAATTATCTTCGTTTTGTAGCGAAATTGAAAGTGGTTTGGCTGTTAGAGAACTAACTATTTTGGCTGAAACAGCTCGACCTTCTACTTCGTCATTATCAAATGATCTGCTGTATGCGCTTAAAAATTCAACTGCAGCAGATTGTTATATCGTATTTAAGGTACTTTTTCGCTATATAATGGCTTTTTTTATCGGCTGTATGAGGTAAAATATTAAATACAATAAATTATTTTGAGCTGAAATAAAGTGGGAAAATATCTGTGCATATTGACGCTCATTTTCATTGATTTTCAATTTTTGTTTTGAAAATTAAATTTTAATTTTTAATTATCCATGATAAATTAAATTAAAAGTATTAATTAAATTAAAAGTATTCTTATAATGGAAACAAATATAAAGTATAACTATTAGTAAAATCGTTTAGGGCGTACGCTACAAATCGCATTTACTAATTCTCTTATCACGCTGTCGATATTTCTATAATTATTGGAAATTGTCATCAGAGACGTCAAACAGTGATATGCCAGAATTGCAATTCATCGATGACAATCTGTCTTATGAATTTTTCCAAGCTTCTCTTCACTTCATCTATTCGAGTACCTTACCGGAATCTTTATCGCCTTTTGATTGCCAACAGCTTGAAGGGCTATTAATCAAGTATTTCATCAAAATTATTCATTCTATTTCTTCTTTGAATTGCTGTAAAATACAGCAAATATCTTCTCAATTTACCACATAGTTTTTTTTTATTAATTTATTTGCATTTTCCGAAAATTCTTTGAATTTTGTAAAATATGCTGATAATGATGTAATAATGGTGAAATTGTTATCACAAAATTAAATAATTCAGTTTTGTTTATTATTTACCAAGTTTATATCAATACCGCATTTTTATTAAGGATTTCTCATTTTTTATTAGAAATTGCTTTCAGACTTGGTTGTATTTTTCCGCTTCAGCAAGATTTCCTTAATTTCAATTTTGAAAGTAAAGGCGATTGTACTCTTATTTTTACTGCAAGTACGAACATTGTTTCATCAAGTACCTATTTAATTTTTCATTTACGAAGTTTATTTATAATTTTCGCAGGTTTATGAAAATTTTTTTTGAAAAATCTAGCTGTTAAAGAAATCATTTCATTTGAAAAAAGACATGTGTTTGCTTTTCTTTTTCAAAAATATTCAAGAAATGAGGAAAATTTTCTTTATTATGTTTTACGTCATTCTTGGAAAAAAATGTTGCTCGGTTTTTTTATTTTTGAGATTTCATTTTAACGGAAGATCCTTTAGATGAAAGATTTTCCCATCGCAGCGAATTGCGTGATTACTGTGTTAAATGTTCATCAACTATCATAGCTGCACGATCAGAGTTTTTGCGATCATTAATAGAAAGGCGTCAACGGTGTGGGAAGCCACTAGAGATCGTCATTGATGAGCATCTTTTTCCTAGAATATATGCAGTCGTAGTGCTTCATGCAATTTACACAGATCATCTTGATCTTACCAAGGTAATTTTATTTCTTATTTTATAAAATAGGAAAAAGGCTTTGGTATGGTGGAATTTTATTGACAGAAAATTGAAAATAGATATCGAAAAGGTTAATTACTATTGCTGCAGTATTGAAATTTTTTATTAAATTTTGTGGCCTTACTGGATGTCATAACTAATTATTTTAAATTTTCTGGTAGACACTGACTTTCAAAGTCATTTTAACCTTCTAAGAGCAGTCACCATTTCATAAATGTTTCTGGTTCGACTCCACTAACTGCGAAAGTGAGATTTCCGTTTCACTAAAGAGTCACTCACTCGGTGATTGAGTATCAGTGGATTTAGAACTATGAAGGATTTAGCTGCCATTTTCCGGTCTTTGTGCCCCAGTAATGAAATTTGAATACTCATAAAAGTAAGTATAGGAAGTATTGAATACCATTTTTGTTTAGTATTGAAGCACAACAAATATCAACACCAAACTAGTACCAATGTTTTTTTCGCATTCCTTAATTGAGAGCTTCAACTCCTTTCATCAAGCGATGTTATCTGCTGATAAGCTGTGTAGGTTCTCGGTTTCCATAAGGATTTTAATATTATTAACTGATTTGGTACAATCAAAAAGAAACATGTTCAAATCTAAACATCTAAGCATGCTTCTTGTTCTCGGTCGAAAAAACAGTGATTTGACTACTGGTATGTCCATTAATGTCGAGAGGCAAAATAAATTCGATAAGTTGTAACGAGTAAATTCAGCTATAAAATTCAGGCAAAACTAGTTGGATAGAATGCCTCCTTTAATTTTTTTGCTTAAATTGCAGGTATTAGACGGTTGTCAAGTGTCCGCGAGCAGCCTTAATGAAGTGCAAGCAATTGCAGCTGGTCGTACTCAGCAGACTCCTCTTCGGCATGCGATCGATATTTATCATATTGCTCGGTTTCTCAATCTTCATCGCCTAGCCCAATGTGAGTCTGTTTTATTAATTGTTGTAATTTTGCAGTATAATCAGATCTTTATTTCATTTAATATTTCTCTGAAGTATTTGCTTCTTCTGTAAATGATTGAGCAGAAACATTTCATTTGAACGATCTAGGCATGAAAGGTGATAGGCTTCAATGAATCTTTTGATAATATTTAAAAATCGCTGCATATTATTTTTATTTTCAGCTTGTGAAAATTTAATGGTTTCTGAATTATCGCTTGATACGGTTGGGAGCTTATGGACATGGGCATCCGAGGCTGGTGGCTCTGCGTATGTTCGGCGTCAGTGTATAACGTTTGTGCTAACAGAATTTTCCCGTATATGTGCATCACATTTACTTTTAGAATTGGAAGAGGACCTTCTCTATGAATGTCTTCTATCTGATTATGTTCAGGTTCTTTTCATCTTTTTTGTGTTCTGTTTGTTTTGCAGTTCAAAAATTGCTTGAGATAAAAAATAATTATTTATTTTATTTGACAATTTTTTTGATGATTTTTTCTAATGGTTTGCTTTGTTTTTTCCTTTCTTTTTGCGAGTTTTTCACTTAACTTTCTTCTTTGCTAAAACATTAATATTTTTTCATAATCTATTTTTTTTTACTGATAAGTACATATATTTATTATAGTCTTCTGAAGTCGAGATTTTGGAATCTTTGATTCGTTGGGGCGAGCATGAACTTGTTCGCCGAATGGAAGAAAGAGAACCTAATCTAGTCGCAAATACTACACATAGTATAAGTCGTAAGGGAGTTCGACGATCGGATTTAAATGATACTGAATTAAAAAATATTTTATCACGATTATTGCCCCTTGTGCGAATTGATTATATTATTCCTCCGTTTCATCAGGTATTTTGGGCGAAATTTTCCTCTTTTTTTTCATATTATTCCGCTTCATTTAGTTAAGTGGGAATATAGATTTTTATTCTGCAAAATATAATTTAAAATAAAATTATTAGATTATCGAAATTAGTTATGAATATATTGATTTTTTACATTTGGTTTAATTTTTTTATTCGAATATTTTAATTTTCATCTATACGAATAAAAAATTTATTTTTTCATTTTTCAGAGTCTGACTTCCGCATATAAACGTGGTTTACTTGACCGATCGCCTAATGCAGATTTACTGGGTCAGCAATATCCTGATAGTCGATCACCAGATGTTAGTCCTGATGCACACTGGTTCGACCACAGTGTGCCACATCGACATCCATCTGGTCCCAGACTTCTTTTCTTGTATGCAGTGGTATGTTAATCCATTTTTTTAGCATTTTTTGTTCATATTTTTGTTCATATTTATTATTTTATATTAAAGGAAGCGCGAAATCGACTTCGGCGTCTTTGCGGCACCAGCAATGATTTGTGCATTAATCATCGGCAAATTAAGACAATGGCACAAACACATGAAACAATACATCCTTATATTATAAATGTTATGCCCGATTTAATTACAGAAGAGCAAAGAGAGAATGTCAGTATGATAAATTTTCATTTCGCTCCGTTTTTCATTTATTTACTATTTATTTACTATATTGTAAAACATTAGTTAACGTTAAATTGAATGAAAATTGATGAAAATTTACATTCCCATCAGTAATAACTCGGAATATAAGTTGGATTCGACATTTTTGATAGAAAGGAACTATTTAATAATCTCGTTTAAATAATTTAAATTTCTTTTAATTAGCCATTTCAGAAAATAATGTTACAGATTGAAAAAGCATTCATTCATTCGATGCAGCAGAGTGAATTGATAAAAAAGGCGTTTTGTTGCGGATGTGAACATCACAGGAATCTTGCCATTGAACAGGTTTACAGATTTATATAGCTTCTTACAATAAATACCATACGATTGTATTGTTTTTCATAAGTTTAGATTCGACTACGCGTCGTACGTGAACTTGACGTTGATGAAAATGGGATTGAAGTGATTTGTTCTACATCTAGTGAAAAAATCTTAAATACCAAATGCCCACCATGTTACAGAAGTCAGCCAATCTTATCTGCAGTAAATTTATGGTCAAGCTCCACAACATCCATATATTCACGACCAATTTCATTGCTGTCGGAATATGGCAAGTTATTTTTGTAAGAATTTTGTTGTTTCGATCGCTAATGATCGGTTAATCATCCTGTATGCTTTTTTTTTACTTCTTTTTAGTTTGTCGAAACTATAGATTGTCTGGTGATCATAATGATCCCTGATTTATTTGCAATAAATTATTTTCTGCTTAAATCCTTAAATTGTTTGTTCTAAAGCAGATATTTATATTATTTGTTAAGTGTTGAGGTTTTATAATTAATACGCTTGTGGCCTTATGGAGTTTTTATTTTTTCTGTCGAAAAATGATTATTATTCATTTTTGAGAATCATTCAATCATTTACTTTCAGATAATGAAAAAATTGGCGAACTTACTCCTGATATTCTTCGCACAGAGTCGACTCTGTGATTTTTTCGATTTTGATTGAATTTACGAGTTATAAAATCTCTTATGCATCGCTTTTTTGATGAGTAATTTCAGTGAAATCAAGAGATTTCCTGTTTATCGTTTAAGAATTTATCGTTGTGAACCAAATTATTCTTTATTAGTTAATTTTTTCATAGAAATGTCTTATTATTTATATTTATATTGTTCTTACTTTGGTAAATGGTAGTAGAAAGCGCGGCATCTCGCGAAGTCTGTGAAATTTTTTGATCAGGAAATGGTGATTGGAGGCGGCTGCTATAAGCTTGATTCGGTTTTTCGAATATTTTTGATATTTATTGATATTTTTGATTAATATTGATATTTTAGCTGATAATTCGATATAACTATAGAAAGGAAAGCCTAAAAGAACTTTCCATTAGCCATGAAGCCCTGAGGAAGGTGAAAGAAAAATTATTTCGCTTTTTAGAAGTTTTAAAATTGTTAATACATGCAAAAAATTTTTACACCGATATGGTGCTTGCAGTTAATTTTTGTGATGATAATTAAATAAGATTCAAAATAATTAATTCTGATTAGTTTTGATTAATTTTCTTTAAGGCATCAATATTTCCTTTAAGGGATTTTAAGTGTTTTTGTTTTGCTGGTTTTTTTTGGCTGAGATTGTTTGTCTTTCTGCATCTAACCAGATCATTTATCATTTCAAAGTGCATATAATAAGATTAGCAGCGAGGTGTGGACTTTTCTCTTATCAATTTGCCAGTATTTTTTTGCATTTCTATTCTATTTCTAATAAAACGATAATTTGTTGTGTTAGTCATTTTGTTAGAATTTTTCTCATCACTTCTTTTTTTTTTTTTTAAATACTTGTCTATAACGTCTCTTTTTGTTTTTTGAAATCCGAAAGTTCCACTTCGTATTAAGCCGTAATTAGTATCCTATCTTATATCCTATAGAAAACTTAAGACCAGCTTTTCTTCCTCAACACCACTCGAGACCCCACTGTATTTTCTTAATGTTCCATCAAACCGTGCCGCTCTATTTTTTAACGCCTCATCACCAACGATACCAAAAATTTCTTTATCCATTTTAATTTCTTGTTTCATAGATAAAATTAAAGTCATTTTATCAAGAAGTTCATCAGAGCCTGTCAGAGTCCTCCGCTCATAGCATCCTCTTGAATATTTTATTACGCCTTGTTCTTTTTCAAAATCAGGCAAAGCTATTTTTGCAATTTTTTCTTAATTCTGGAATTTTTATAATTTTGAAATTTTTTCTTTGCTTGTCTTGGCAAGCTTGAGCTTATTATTAACGCTCAAAATTGAGTAACTGCTGAGAACACCTCTACCTCTATTCCTAAGAGATTACAATGGAGGGATAAAACTGCATCCGCATACCGATGCACTGTGAAGTCCCTAAAGAGGTATTCCATGCGACTAATGCATACCAAGCATGAGGATGGCAGTGGTAACTGCGTAAGATCTTGAAATAAAAAAATTGTTCTAACACAATTAAGAATGTCCTACAAGCATCAAACAATCGGTTATATAAAGGCGGTGAGGTGTAGTGGGGTAGAACGTCGGAACGTTTCTGAACGTCAGGTGATAATCGCCTATACTTTATTCAACTATCGTATGAATATCATTTGATTGTCGGAGATTGATCCAAAATTTGAGCCCAGCGCAATAATTGTATGTAGTCTGGATAAGAATTGCTTGCTAGCCGTAAAACACTGTAGTATTTCGAATAAGTTAATGTCAAAAGGAGATGCAGACGTTCAAACGAGCACGACTGCGCCAATTGTGTGGAATCCCGTTAATGGCCATTTGGCTAACGTCGCCGTGCAAAAAAAAAACTGCAGTGGTAGTTGAAATTATTTTCTCAGCGTTTGGTTGTTTTTCTTATTTAACTTTTTTTTTATAAAAAGTTTTTTTATAAAAATTTTTATAAAAATATATAAACTTTTTTTACAAAAATATTCTTCCATAATTCTTTTCCTCCTTAAATTCTATTTTTTCTACTTTTCTTATTACCGAAAAAAGGCATATCTAAAGTGTTAATTAAATTTGTTTTGGGAAATAAACTTATGGGAAACTATAATTAATCATAAACGACGCAATTTTAAAACTCTCAACTATACAAACAATCTTTTGTAAGGAAATTCGAACACTTCAAAAATTTACGAAAAGATTGATTAGCAGTAAATTATTAGTTTTTGCGCTCAGAAATCGACAAGTATTGCTACTTCTCATATTGTATTTTTATTTTGCTTTCACATGGAAATCGCCATGTTATGAGTGCAACGGTAACGAGGAAATATGCGTGAAAACTTTTGGGTATTGTGTTTGTATTTGTTTATAGATAAGAATCTGTTAACTACTGATAACATTGTTCGGGAAATAGTCTGATAGTGATACGACGACTTTTCATGTACAACACTAAGCATGATTCTAGGAACAATAGGTGACTTCGTCTACAGTTGCGCTCTTCCTCGTTATCATAGTGAACAAATAATTTTATTCGCGATTTGATAAATAAAGATAAAATTTTGAAGTTGACTTATGATGCTATAACTCAAAAATTTAATTAAAAATTAATGATAACCAACAAAAAATTTTTTCAACTTAGCCAATTTAAAGTTTGTATTGCTATTGCTTTGCTTTTTTCAATCTTCCTTCGGGGCAGAAATAGCGACTAATTCGTTGAATTTAAAATGTTTAGCTAAGAATAATTGAAGAACTATATGGCAGAAAGGCAGCGATAATATCATTCGGTTGCACGATGAAATTACCCAAAGGCTTATTCGTTGTTATTTTCGTGAAGTGAGGAGGTTTGGAATGGGAAAGTTGTAGGACCATAGTATTGGTGGTTTTTTGGCTCTTTTTCGGGATTGATTCTGTAGTATTGTTTTTGTACTACACATTTTGATAATATTGGATTTTTATTGGCTATTGTTCAGATATCATTTCATTGAAAATATTAAAAAACTGCTACAACTTTTGATTTTTAAAAAAACCGTTAACCAACAAAATACACTGGAAAAAAATTTATGAAATACATTAACAATTAACATTTATGAAATACATTACTGGAAATGATCGTCCTATCATAAGCATACAAACTGTCAGCGAAGGCAGTTAACATCTATAAGCGTTCTGATATTCAGTGTAGGAAGTCCAATTCGCCTACACACAGAGGGGAATTTGTTTCCTCTAACTTCTCGAATGAATTAAACCTTGATTCGAGAGTTTGAAAAGCTTAAGCCATTATATCTGGTGTCGATGTTCGGCCCCGTTCGCATATTCATTAACTATCAGATTAAAAATACATGCGTCATAATATGTGGACGTCATTTGAGAACCATATAACCCCTTTGTCATGAAGCTGCTTGGGGGATAGGAGCGCAAGTGAGTCTCCAACAGCTGCTGGACTTTACTTCTAAAGTATGTTATGGGAATTTTTAGTTATGGGAACTCGAAATTTATTCCTAATTTTAAAAAACCATTAATTTTGCTTTATAATAAGAAACTATTAATGAAGAAAAAGAAAGGAATAAGTGATATAAACAATAATATTAATGAAAATCAAAGTTGTAGCAGTTTTTTAATATTTTCAATGAAATGATATCTGAACAATACCCAATAAAAATCCAGTATTATCAAAATGTGCAGTACAAAAACAATACTACAGAATCAATCCCGAAAAAGAGCCAAAAAACCACCAATACTATGGTCCTACAACTTTCCCATTCCAAACCTCCTCACTTCACGAAAATAACAACGAATAAGCCTTTGGGTAACTTCATCGTGCAACCGAATTATATTATCGCTGCCTTTCTGCCAAATAGTTCTTCAATTATTCTTAGCTAAACATTTTAAATTCAACGAATTAGTCGCTATTTCTGCCCCGAAGGAAGATTGAAAAAAGCAAAGCAATAGCAATACAAACTTTAAATTGGCTAAGTTGAAAAAATTTTTTGTTGGTTATCATTAATTTTTAATTAAATTTTTGAGTTATAGCATCATAAGTCAACTTCAAAATTTTATCTTTATTTATCAAATCGCGAATAAAATTATTTGTTCACTATGATAACGAGGAAGAGCGCAACTGTAGACGAAGTCACCTATTGTTCCTAGAATCATGCTTAGTGTTGTACATGAAAAGTCGTCGTATCACTATCAGACTATTTCCCGAACAATGTTATCAGTAGTTAACAGATTCTTATCTATAAACAAATACAAACACAATACCCAAAAGTTTTCACGCATATTTCCTGGTTTTCCCTTAGCTACAAAAGATATTCTTGTTGTGCCAATAACGCGATTTTACACGGTTGAAACGCTGCGTCCTCCGTGATTTTCTGGTTTTTTGTTATGACGCAAGTGAATCTGGAATTGATATCTGTTAAAATAAAAAACATTTTGAACGAAAACATTTTTTTAAGAATTATTAAAATTTTTTATGGTTAAAAAGAAATGTTGGTGATCGAATAGTTGAAAAATGGTTTTATTCAGTCACTCTCGCTTTACTTTTCTCAATTATTTTGTCAGTTTTGCTTCTTTTTTCCAGTGGAATCGTATGAAATTTTCAAAATTTGAAAATCTCGTGAAAACAAAGTTCGATATTGGTAAAAAAAAAAAATATTTTATTTTACTCTCAGCTAAT